GTGTACTATGTGTAGTTTGTGTGTTGTTGAATTCATGTTGAAGGTGCTCTTTGTACAGACTGTGAAAACAAATTTCCTCCACTGAGGACAATAAAGTATGAATCTGAATCTAATAATCATAAAATGTAATCAATATAAAATATAATCAATAAACACAATAGTCAATATAAAATGTAATCAATAAACACAATAATCAATATAAAATATAATCAATAAACACAATAATCAATATAAAATGTAATCAATTAACATAATAATCAATATAAAAATGTAATCAATAAATACAATAATAAAAATAACAATCAATTTAAAATGTAATCAATAAACAATCAATATAAAAATGTAATCAATAAACACAACAATAAACATAATAATCAATTTAAAATGTAATCAATAAACATAATCAATAGTTCCTGACTGGTCGCCAGCAACCTGCTGGTGAGCGACGGCTGCAGAAGAAAGACCATCTTTCATCTAAAGTGGCGCTTTGTCTCTGCGACCACGCTCACCAGCTAGAGCTCGCCGGGGGTCCGACTCAGTGCCGGCTTCAGGGCCACCGGCCGCTGGAGGTAGAGCCGGCTGTCCTCAGCGTCTGACAGTGAGTCCTGCTGGACGGAGAGTGAAGCTGATGGATCCAGCATCGGGTCAACGGCCTTCATCGGACAGGTGTCCACTTACATCACTGCAGACACAGACAACACGGACAATGCCGGACCTGCCCTCCTCGGTCAGCAGAGCGGGCAGATGCGAGCGACAGCTGACAGTGTGTCTGCTGAGTCACCTGATGGGGGCGCTGCAGCGGAGGGTAAACCTCGGCTTCCCCTGTGACACCTGCGTCAGATATGGCTCCTCCCCCTTTAAACGGCGCAATGACACGATTTAAAAAACATGAAAATGAAGACCTTGTCAGAAAATGTCTGAAGGAAGTTTTTTTAGGTAGTTTCTGGTTGAAGGTTTTGATTGGACGTTGAGGAAACATCATAGTGGGGGCGGAGCTGGACTTTTTGATTAATGATTTGAAATATGAATAATTATTTGTGTTTAAACCTTAACATAAAACATTTATTCCTTTAACACCTTGTTTCCTTTGTTACCCTTGTCTATCCTCTTTTATCGTTCTCTGCCTCCTCCCTTCGTCCTGACTCGGCTGATCAACATCAGCGTTGATTCTTCTTCACCGAACATATATTGCTGTAGACTCTGTCTGTATTGTTGTTGTCAATAAAGTTTCAGTGGGTTGAATGTAACATGTTAATCCCACAGATTAGGGTGTGTTCATTCTGTTAGCATTTAGCAGATTAGCTCCGTTAATTCCTCCACGCTGCAGCTTCTCCATCAGTCAACATGTTGGACCGGAGGAACGCCGTCCTGCTCTCAGGTAGGTCTTCAAATTCCAAACACCAAACTCCGCTCATTTTTTCACTCATTTTAAAAGCTGCACAGACTCATCAGGATACAGTGCAGAGGCTGCTGGAGCTGCAGACTAACGAGGGATAATGACGGTTCAACTCTGAGGCTGGAGGGTGATTAAATCTCAGAACCACGAAGGCCTGAATAAACTCATTTTGAGCCTGAAGAGTCTCCACAGAGTCGGCATATTTATAAATGGATCTTTGTATTGAGCAGTTTGAGCTTTTTTCTGCTGAATCCTTTAATCTGAGACACATGTGAGTCTGTCGCTGCGGGATTAAGACGTCTGTGTCCGAGCGCTTTAATCTGACAGGACAATGAGCAGCTTCCTGTCCTTTGTTAGATTTAATCTGTAATCAATAAACCAATCACAGCTCTGATTGTTTATTCAGAGACCTCCTAGCAGAGTGCTTAAGACATTTCCCAGAATGCTTTGCCAGCTGAGGCAAATATGAATATTTATATTATTATTATTCTGATATTCAACAACTACTGGACCACTAATCAATGACCTAATTACTGATTATTGATTATAAGGAAGGAGGTTGTTGAATTATGATCTTAATGTTGTTTATTCAGTTCAGTCAGCAGACGGAACCATTACAGTTGTTTGTAACCTCTATTTATCAATTTATTTATTTATTTATCAATTATCTGTTATTAATTTATCCATTTATTTATCAATTTATTATTTATTTATTAATTATTTATCCATTTATTTGTGTATGTGTTAATTTGTTCACTTGTTTGTTTACTGTTAAACTGTTTGTTTCAGTGCTGCTGGCTCTGTCAGTGTGTGTTTGTTGTTTACTGTTGTTTGTTTGTTTGTTTCAGTGCTGCTGGCTCTGTCAGTGTGTT